CTAGTGGATTAGGAAGGAAAATGTTGAAATATGCCTATAAAATACCTGTGAAAAAAAATCAAAAAGGGTTGGGGGGGGCGAGTTTTTAAAATGCAAGTAATCAGATTTCACTCCAATGAACTTCACTGTTCAGTGAAATGGTATGATAATGAAATCATCACATATACACACACACACAATATAACTGTAATACATCTACTAGACACATCTCAATTATATACTTGATTATATAATGGCTTACACAATTCATAAACAACTATGGGCCAAAAATCATATTCCAAAGATCAATTCCTGTCCCTTGCCAATACCTACCGTTAAAACCAGAACAAGTCCACAGTTTTTTGGATTTTGCATCCAGCCCTCCCAGGGAATTTCCTGGCAGCTTGGGGTCCTCTCTGGGCAAGGGTACCCAGCAGGAGCCCTCCCCATTCCCGGCTCACCTTGCTCCTCCAGCACAGCGTGTGCCTCCCGCTTGCGGGGACCTCGGTGTGCCCCAAGGGACACGGGAGCCCCCCAGTCTCCACCCCGTCCCCCTCAGCCTTTGCTCCTCACCCCCAAAGAAGGCACAGAACAACTCCAGCTGCCCTGGACAGCAGCACCTTGCTTTATTGGAACTCTGTCCAGGTATAGACCCCTCCCAAAATGGAGCTCTGCTGCAAAAAGAAAGGGGGGCAGGTCCCAGAAATCCCTCCCCAGAACCCCCGGGCACAGGCCAGAGGCAGAAAGAGGGAGTGGTGGCAGAGAGGACAGAGGAACGGCGCAGCTCGGTTCTGCACGGCCCAGCCCGCTTCACCCCGGCCCGGCTCGGTCCGGCCCGGCCGGCCCGGTCCGCTTCACCCCGGCCCGGCCCGCTTCGCCCCGGCACGACCCGCCCGGCCCGGCCCGGCTCAGTTCGGCCCGCTTCGCGCCAGCCCGGCCCGGCCTGCTTTGCTCCGGCCCGCCCGGCCCGGTTCGGCTCGGTTCGGCCCGGACCGCTTCGCACCGGCCCCGCCCGGCCCGCCCGGCCCGCTTTGCTCCGGCCCACCCGGCCCGGTTCGCCCCGGCCCGGCCCGGCCCGCTTTGCTCCGGCCTGCCCGGCCCGGTTCGGCTCGGTTCGGCCTGAACTGCCCGGCCCGCTTCTTGCCAGCCCGGCCCAGCCCGCTTTGCTCCGGCCCGCCCAGCCCGGTTCGGCTCGGTTCGGCCCGGCCGCCCGGCCCGCTTCGCGCTGGCCCAGTCTGCCCGGCCCGCTTTGCTCCGGCCAGCCCGGCGTGGTTCGGCTCGGTTCGGCCCGGCCCGCTTCGCCCTGGCCCGGCCCGGCCCGGTCCGCTTTGCCCCGGACCGGCCCGCCCGGCCCGCTTTGCTCCGGCCACGCCAGCCCGGTTCGGCTCGGTTCGGCCCGGCCCGCTTTGCTCCGGCCCGGCCGGCCCTGTTCGGCTCGGTTCGGCCTGAAACAAATAAAAATGCTTAACTAAAAGGGGTGTCTGACAAAACCAGACCGTGACACCCTAATTCACAAGAACAGGAAAAAGAGCCAGAGTGCAAGATGAGATAAGGAGCTGGAATACACAAGCGAGATGCAAAGACAAAGGCACCACAGGATAAAGGAGATTCCTCAAACCCTAAGCCGGAAGAAGCAGAAACGGATTTAAAGTTCCAAAAAAGGCGACCAAAGGACTGAAAGGGGCACGGGGCTAATTGTAATATGAAGGGAAGACAGGCGGGGTTAGAAAATTAATATGTATTAGGCGTATCGTGTAAACCTGGTCTGTAAAGGATAAAAAGGGGAAACCCAATCAAAAAGGGGTGCATGCTTTTTGGAGGAGATATCCCCCATGCACCTCAGCGCTGAATAAATTCATACCTGCTCTTATAACTACTCTGCGAGTTATAGGGTTCCTTTTATTCCGCACATCATTTTGGCAAGCCAGGTAGGAGTGTCTCTGTCTGGCTGCGGGAGCAGCCGAGGAGCGGATTCCCTGGTGCGCCCCCAGGACTTTCCGGGAGGGACCCCGAACCTCGGTTTGCTCACCGCGGGGACAGACAACAACCTGCCGGCCTGCGGATAAAGGTATGAATTAAATATTAAGGGAAGGGCTGCTAGTAAAGCGACCAGAGACGTCTGTCGTACAGCACTGTCCCTGTGGGCTTGCAAGCACCCGGCCAGGAGGGGCCGGGGACAGAGGGAAAGGGATCGATCCTGGCCGATAGCGCGGCCTATGAGGGGGGGTTTCTTGCTGAGCTGATAGAGCAGCCCGCTAGCGACTCTGGGGGTGAGTCAAGCGAACCCTTGTTTTGTGTGAATGCTAAGTCCGGACACGTTGAGTCACTGAGTGTGTTTGGTGTGTGAATGAGCGAGTGAGACGCACCAGAGGTGCGCAGTGAGTGTGGAGCTCTATCCGCGGTTCCGACCTCGGGCGACTGAGGCGGCCGGAGAAAAGCGAAGCGACTGGAGTCAGTGTGGGGCAAACCCAAATGTAAATGAGGAGTGTATGCTTGAGTGTGAAGTGATGTGATTAATATTTGTTTTAACCGCGGGTAGACGCTGGTATTGCTGCTCTAATAACCATCAGGGCATATACTTCACGTGCAAAGTGAAAACTTTGAAGTTTGTGTGTGAAAAGTCACATTGAGTGCCCACTAATTGCAATTGTGCGTAAGGAAAAGCTTGGGTAGAAACGGGACAGGACAAGAAAAGGAAACAATGGGCACTGGACAAAGTAAAGAAATCCCTAAAGCAAGTCCGCTGGGTTGTATTCTGGCACATTGGAAAAATATTGCTGGACATGGAGGAACTGAGAAGAAGAAAGATTTAATCAAATTCTGTAAGGACTGGTGGCCGCTGTATAAATTGGATGAGAGAGGGAAGTGGTCACCTAGTGGAACTTTGGACTATAACACGCTATTGCAACTCATGCTCTTTCTCAGGAGGGAAAGGAAATGGGCAGAGGTAACATATGCTGATATATTTTTCTCCCTTCAAAATCACCCCGAATGGCAAAGAGACTGTGGGATCAGGGCTCCCTCTGACCCTCTGGTATTGGCCCTGGAGAAGGAGAATAAGACTAAGAGGGGGAGGCTTAAACGGTGTTGTTCAGCATGTAGCATAGGGCAAAGATGCACAAAATCAGATAAGGTCTACCAGACTGTGGCCCAAGAACAAGATCTGGCAGACGATTTGCTTAAGCCTCCCCACATAAGACCAGAAAGGGAGGAAGATGAGGATGTGGACTCAGGGGATGTAGACACCCCTCCGATTGCACACCGCACTAGACAACAGACACACATATTACAGGCACCGCTGCGAGAGGCAGTGGCACCAGAGGGAGGAGTGGTATTAGTTAAGGTTCCCTTCTCCACAATCGATTTGGAGGCATGGGAGAAGGTTGCAAAAAATTACCACAATGATCCAGTTAACACAGCTAAACGTCTGCGATATATAATAAAACAACCCAATCCAGACTAGAGTGATATGCAATTATTATGGGATGCACTGACCGAGACAGAAAAACAATTAATTATAAAAACGGCAGGAGATCTGGCAGAAGATTATTATAAAACCCAACAATTGGATGTGAAAGATTATTTCCCACTCCAAAACCCACAGTGGGATCCAAACAAATTAGCAGAATTAAAAAAACTAGAAAGCTATCAGGAGTGGATCGCAAAGGGGATGGAAAGAGCCATCCCCAAAACTATAAATTGGTCAACTTTATATGCAATCAGGCAGGGTCCCTCTGAGTCACCATCCGAATTCCTCGAAAAATTAAGAGATGCTATGCGCCGTCACACATCACTAGACCCTGGGTCTGAAGTAGAGATACAGCAGTTAGTTAATTTATTCCTGGGGCAGTCTACAGGTGACATAAGGCGTAAACTCCAAAAGCTTCGTGGGGCAGATGGGAGGAACTTAGAGACTTTGTTAAATGAGGCATGGAGAGTTTTTAGTAACCGAGAAGAAAGATATAAACAAAGAATGAGGAAGTTTGTAGCTGTTGTAAGTGAAGGAGAGAGAGGAAAACGTGGACAGAGATCATATAGACAAGGCCCGTCCCGACTGGGCAGAGACCAGTGTGCCATCTGTAAGAAATATGGTCACTGGAAAAATCAGTGCCCAGAGCGGAGACAGGGTGGCTTCCAGGAAAAGGGAGACCGAGAAAAAGAGAAAATGATTGCATATGAAGATTGAAGAGGACCGGTAGATCTCACCCCAGAAGATCCACTGGTTATAAAATTGAAACTGGGGGAAAGGGAGAAAGAGGTGGAATTTCTAGTTGACACGGGGGCAACATATTCAGCCTTGAATAAGACTTTGGCACCCGTGAGGAAGGATTATGCTACAGTAATAAGAGCAACTGGTCAACCTGAAAAAGCATATTTTTGCAAGCCATTAAAATATGAGCTTGGAAAGCAATGGAGTATTCATAAATTCCTATATCTGCCTAGATCCCCGAGACATCTGTTGGGTAGAGACTTATTAGAACAATTACAAGTAACTATTAAATTTAAAAACGGAGAGGTTATTCTGGAGGTAAATGATGAACAGTACATAGAGGCATTGAGTTTAATGTTGACAGCCGTCCACACAGAGGGAGAAATTAGTGAAGAAATAATAAATCAAGTATTTCCTGGAGTGTGGGCCTCCAATGTACCAGAGAGAGCGAAAAATGCACTCCCAATATTAATCAAACTCAAGGAAAGAAGACAACCAGTTAGAATTAAACAGTATCCCCTGAAAAGAGAAGATAGGGAAGGAATTAGTCCCATAATTGAAGACTTTTTGCAGTTAGGCTTGTTAAAAGAGTGCCCATCTGAGTTCAATACTCCCATTTTGCCAGTCCGGAAACGTGATGGGTCATACCGGATAGTACAAGATCTAAGGGCTGTTAACAAAATAACTGAGGATCTCTATCCTGTAGTCGCAAACCCATACACTCTACTAACGTGCCTGACACCCGAGCTAACTTAGTTTACTGTTTTAGACTTGAAAGATGCCTTCTTTTGCCTCCCTATCCATGAGGACAGCCAGAAAATTTTTGCATTTGAATGGGAGAACCCCAAAAGTGGGCGCAAATCCCAGCTCACCTGGACTGTATTGCCTCAAGGATTTAAAAACTCTCCTACTCTGTTTAGAGAGCAACTTGCCAAGGATCTAGAATCCTGAGAAGCTCCCCCAGAAGAAGGAAAGATATTGCAATACGTAGATGACGTCCTCATAGCCACCCAGACAAAAGAGGCATGCATAGCCTGGACTGTAAGCCTGCTAAACTTTCTAAGACTTCAGGGATACAGGGTATCAAAGAAAAAGGCCCAAGTAGTGAAGCCAAAAGTAATTTATCTAGGTTATGAGATCAGTGCTAGACAGTGGACTCTAGGGCAAGATCGCAAAGAAGCGATATGCCAAACCCCAAAACCTCAAACAGTGAAGGAGCTGTGAACATTCTTAAGAATGACAAGATAGTGCAGACTACGGATACACAGCTACGGGTTGCTTGTGAAACCTCTGCATGCGCTCATTACAAGTGAGAACAGAGAACTCCAGTGGACAAAAGAGGCCACACAAGCCTTCCACCAGCTGAAGAATGCCCTAATGTCGGCCCCAGCGCTTAGACTCCCGGATGTAAGTAAACCGTTCTTCCTGTTTTCCCATGAGAAGCGAGGAATTGCCCTGGGAATACTGGCCCAAGACTTGGGTCCGTACCGAAGAGCAGTTGCTTACTTCTCCAAACAGCTAGATGCAACAGCCAAGGGATGGCCAAGATGCCTTAGAGCTGTTGCTGCAGTGGTGCAAAATATTCAAGAAGCACGCAAATTCACCCTGGGCCAGAAGATGACTGTACTGGTGTCTCACACAGTGTCTGCAGTCCTGGAAGTAAAGGGCGGGCACTGGCTTTCCCCACAAAAGTTCCTGAAATACCAAGCCATCATAGTAGAACAAGATGATGTAAAGATAGTTGTAACTAACATTATCAACCCAGCTTCTTTTCTCAGTAGAAATCAAGGGGAGCCGGTGCACCACGACTGCCTGGAGACCATCGAAGCTTCCTACTCCAGCCGCCCAGACCTGAAAGACACCCCGCTGGATGATGCGGAAACCTGGTTCACTGATGAGAGCAGCTACATCATCAGTGGAAAGCGACACGCCGGGTATGCAGTTACCACCTGCAAAGAGGTAATAGAATCTGGACCCTTGCCAACGGATACCTCTGCACAAAAGGCAGAGATCATCGCTCTAACCCGTGCCCTGGAGATTGCAAAGAGAAAGAAAATAAACATCTATACAGACTCGAGATATGCATTTGGAGTTGTACATGCACATGGGGCCATCTAGAAAGAAAGAGGATTGTTAAACTCAAAAGAGAAAAACATCAAATATGCGCAAGAGATATTGCAGCTACTAGAAGCAGTCCAGCTACCTAAGCAGGTAGCAATTATGCACATTAAGGCACACCAGAAGGTGAGCTCAGAATTGGATGAAAGAAACGAGCTGGCGGAGAGAGAGGCAAAAGAAGCAGCAAAAGGTGAGATAACAATTGAGAGAGCCTTAATTCCTGATGGACAGATCTCCCTCGAAAGTAAGCCAGTATATACTAGAAAAGATAGAAAACTAATTCAAGATCAAGGGGGAAAATATAACCAAGAGAGATGGGCTATTACCGCAGAAAGGACAACAGTCATCCCTTCTCATTTGTTATGGTCACTAGTAAGAGAAGAGCACCAGAAAACACACTGGAGAATAGATCCCCTGTATAGCTATCTAATTGAAAGGATTACTGCCAGAAATTTATACTCTACTGTCATTCAAGTAACTCGACAGTGTGACATTTGCCTCCAGACTAAACCTAAGAATACCCCCAAACCAAAACTTGGTCAAATTGGAAAAGGCCATGGGCCTGGACAACAATGGCAAATTGACTTCTCAGAACTACCAAGAAAAGGGGAGTATCGATATTTGCTAGTTTTAACAGATACCTTTTCAGGGTGGCCAGAGGCTTTTCCAACCAGGACTGCCAAAGCCCGGGAGGTAACCAAGGTATTGCTACAAGAGGTAATACCACGCTTCGGGGTTCCAGCCACAATATCTTCAGACAGGGGGCCACATTTTATCTCAAAAATAGTACAACAAACCAGTCGACATCTGGGGATAGATTGGGAGCTCCATACCCCTTATCGCCCCCCGTCAAGTGGCCAAGTAGAAAAAATGAATCTTTTAATTAAACAGCAAATTGTGAGGCTGGGACAAGAAGCTAATTTACCTTGGCCCCAATCTCTCCCACTGGCATTGATGCGGATCCGAACCAAGCCCAGAGCCAAAGAAAAACTAAGTCCCTTTGAAATGCTTTATGGGAGACCATATGGTATGCAAAAGGGATTGTCTACCCAAGTGGGGGAGGAGAGGCTGACTGCCTATATGATAGCCCTAGGCAAACAGCTCAAAACAATTGAGAAACATGTGGCTGGAACCCGGAGCAGAGGGCTGGATGGGCCAGTGCATGACATACAGCCTGGAGATTATGTGTATGTTAAGTCTCTTACAGAAAAAACTTTAGAACCACAGTGGGAAGGACCGTTCCAGGTGATCCTCACCACCTTCACTGCAGATAAGATCAAGGAACAGAGCGCCTAGATTCACCATTCTCGAGTGAAGAAAGCTCCAGAAGCCCCTTGGAAAGTAACACTGGGTGACAATGAACTGAAACTAAAACTTACTAGAGCAAAATGAATACATTGCAGTTGGGAGCATTCCATGATTTAGCTTGCAAAAACCTAGTCAATAAAGTCAGTCTGTTTTACTTGTAACCACAAGTGTAATTCAAGAATTGGAAAGCACCTCTAGCCAGAAAAATGCTGAATGGCCTTGGTCCCAAGCTTTCATTCAATCCACTGGATTCATGGGAAAACACTCTGATATAAGAAATTTAAACCTATCAACCGTAGTTATGCATGAAAACCAGATATATAAAAAGCAAGAATGGCAAAAACAAAGGCTATGGACCCTTCAAGGGACTATTGGAGAAGTAATCAGGGTAGGATGCCGGATGATTAATGGGACTAGCTATGAAAAGGCAGTCCAAATTAGTGTTTCAGCTTCTCCTACGGGCAAGCACTGGGAAGTTTGTGACCATTTAAGTAAATTGGATTGTTGGTATAATTTTACATTAGTACAAACAGTAGATGTGGTCTGCCTCTGGGGTTGTGGGGATAAAGGGTTAACATTCAAGTTTAGAATGAAAGCCGTGCCTATTGCAATGACCAAATCAACTGTAACCCAAGCTCAGACCACACCATCTAAAGTTAAACCTAAGATTGAACCTAAAATTTATGAAGTTGGTCCATATGTAATACGGAATACAGGACAACAACAACTGTTATTTAATCCAGAGTGGTCTCTCAAGCGTATTGAATTACTAATGCAAACTAACATCTCTGAGATTCAGCCAGCCTGTTCCTCTTTCCTAAAGACATCATCTGAGGGCTGGGCAACATGGTTACAAAAGCAGATACACTTCAGGGGCAGAATGAGAAGGGACTTAACTGGAACATTAGGAACAGAGTTAAGAGTATTAAATGGAATTGATTCAGAAATATTAATGAATAAATTAGCGGCTGCAACAAGTGATTTGATGAAACTAAAACAGCCCCTACAATCCTCTTTATTATAACTAGGAACTAACCAATGAGAAGTTTCTAAAATATTACCAAAGTGGAAAGAGGCTGGGGACCAAGACCACAAGCTAATAATAAAAGCACTAAATATTGCCCAAAATAATGTGTCATTAGCCCTTAGCTGCATACAGGCACAATTATGGATGCAATCAATAGTTGCTTCAGTAATAAGAGAGGGAAGTGAAGGTGCTTTTCCAATTGAAATTAGGAAAATTGTCTAGGACAATGCAAATAATTTAGAAAGAAAACTTCAGTCTTGGTGGACTCTGGTAAATTTTACTTATGACCCTACCACCGAAATAGCTACTGCCTTTGTGCTGACTATACGTAATGCCACAATTTACAATATCCACCCTATTTTTGCATTAGGACTGAATCATGAAGGGGCAGTTCTCTACCCCTCAGAGCATAGAGCATGGGCCCGGTTGATGAATGGGGGGTGACAAACTGTGAATTTGGAATCTTGTGTTACCCGGGAACAACAAGGGTTTATCTGTGAGGCTAACACAATTGATGCACAAGACATATGTTTAGACACTGAGCAAAGCATCTGCCACTTCGAGATTCATCCTGATACTAGTCAGAAGAGTGTGCTTGTATATATTGGCCTAGGCTGTGTATGTCTAAGAACTGTGTGTGTTTCTGTAGAAATAGATGATAACAATGTAAATTTGCCTATTAAGAACCATTCTAACTTTTGTATTTGTAATTTTCTTAAAATTGTAGGGTGTGATTTTTTATATTCAGCACCGGTTACATCCCACCAGTTGATAAGATCTAACTATACAATACACCATAAATTATCACCTACACCCATTGGAATGAACCTGACATTAGTAAAACAGCTAATGAACCACCAAGATTTGGCAAAAATCCTGAAAGAGATCCAGGAAAATGGGCAAAAGACTCTGATTACTGTCTATCATGATACGAAAGAAATAAGCAAAGTATTACAAAGAGTAAACCAAGGCACAAATCATCACTGGTGGGATGCATTCTTTAGATGGTCACCAACTGCAACTGAGATTTTGAACACACTTTGCCACCCTATCATTATAATACTAGCATTAGTAGGTATAAGTCTGGTGCTATCAATTGCAATGCTTGTTTAGAACTGGAGGATGTTAAAACGGATAGCAGTACTGACTTCCCTAGCAGCAGCATATGGTAATGCAATGAGGGATACATACCGAAGAGAGCAAGCTGTAAAAATAGACTGAAAAATAAAAGGGCATTGGTATTGCTAAGTAAAAGAATTTACTAATTTTCTAGAAAAGGGGGGACTGAAACAAATAAAAATGCTTAACTAAAAGGGGTGTCTGACAAAACCAGACCGTGACACCCTAATTCACAAGAACAGGAAAAAGAGCCAGAGTGCAAGATGAGATAAGGAGCTGGAATACACAAGCGAGATGCAAAGACAAAGGCACCACAGGATAAAGGAGATTCCTCAAACCCTAAGCCGGAAGAAGCAGAAACGGATTTAAAGTTCCAAAAAAGGCGACCAAAGGACTGAAAGGGGCACGGGGCTAATTGTAATATGAAGGGAAGACAGGCGGGGTTAGAAAATTAATATGTATTAGGCGTATCGTGTAAACCTGGTCTGTAAAGGATAAAAAGGGGAAACCCAATCAAAAAGGGGTGCATGCTTTTTGGAGGAGATATCCCCCATGCACCTCAGCGCTGAATAAATTCATTCCTGCTCTTATAACTACTCTGCGAGTTATAGGGTTCCTTTTATTCCGCACATCAGGCCCGGCCCGGCCACCC